AGATTCACTTAAAAGATACTTCTCCAAGTATTCATAACATTTTATAAAGCAACCATGTTCAAAGAGGTGATAAGATCATAGTTAGATGCAATTGCGTTTTGCCAGGTTGTGAAGCAGGTGAGGTTTCACCATGTTGTTGAACCTGACAGAGACATGTGTCATTTAAGCTAAGAATGTAAGCACACGTACAATGACACTCTTTTTAGCTATTCTAAGCAAATGTTCATGGGTATATCCAGTGAATAAACAGCCTTATACATATGGATAAGTATAGTGGGGATCAAGCATTAAAAAAACTATAACTCCTATCTTAATAAAGAATTGTTCAGGGTTTACAAAATAATATCATGTTTAGCTATTTCAAACTTAATCCACAGCTCCATGAGTCTCAAATCATCACAACAAACAAGCTCTTCAGTGAGCATTCAACTATTATATTATAATAGCTTATGCAGTGGGGATCTGACCTGAATCTGGAATTCAAAATCTAATTTAAATCCAGAAGTATTTACACTTTGAAAGATTACTGTTCATTTTATTGGTTCATTAAGAATTCATGTTTGTATAAAGAAATAAAAATATACTATAATTCCTTGCAGCAAAAGCTTTCCTCTAACCAATGGCAGAGCAAAAACATGAGAAGCAGTAGATGGTATCATCACACAGAAAGCAGGAAGTTCCAGTGTGTTTGAGTGTGAAACTGCAGAGACTCACAGTAACACAGATCTACAGCTCAGAGCACAGAGAACATTAATACACACCTGATCTGATCTAGTCAACATGGAAACACACCTGCTGCTGATTTTAATTCTGACTTCAGGTATGACATTTTTATTCGTTACAGTATTCAGACACATTCAAATGAAATAGTTTTGTGTTACTTGACTCAGAAATTATTTTGTTCATTTGTTTTAGGTGTGATGACTGCAGACCAGATTAGACCAAATCAAGAAACAAGTGTCATAAAGGAAGATGAGACTGTGACCCTCAGCTGCACATATGATACAAGCAGCAGTTATGTTTATCTGTACTGGTATAGACAGTATCCCAATGGAGAGCTTCGCTATTTGTTATTCAAGCCTGCACGATCAGGTAGTGCAAGTGGGAGCCCCGATGATCCTCGCTTTCAGTCGACAACATCACAGACATCCACTAAACTCACTATTACTGGTGTAACTCTGTCAGATTCAGCTCTCTATTATTGTGCTCTAAGAGTAGCAGCCCAGTGATACAAAGTCTATGTGAAGCTGTACAAAAACTCAAATTAATTTTCCCCTTTGATGTCAAGCCATATCAAACCCACAATCTAAAATTCACACAATTTAATTTCACATGTGGAAGCACACCTGTGTGCGGTTACTGAAAATGTAATGAAAAGGAAACACAATACTTCCTGAATTACATTTTAGAATTACATCACAACTCTCTTTAAGGAAGTCAAATTATTCAAATAGTGCAAAATAAAATGTCCAATTTATTTCTTATATATTCTGATTACTTGATTCTGACATTAATAACTTGCAAATCATGTTAGAATATATTAAAGTTAAATTTAAATGGTTCAGCTCAGCAAAAAATATTTAAACTAACCACAAGGAGGCATCATTCTTCAAAATCTTATGAAGAACCTAAAATAGCAAAGAGAAACAGAAACTATACTGTAAGAAGAAAACACTTGTTAAAATATTCTCCTTTTTTAACTTAAAGCAGCAATGGCAAAATGGGCAATTATATTACTCTATTCTTCACAGCACATGATTTTGGTAAGAACATTTACACTTCACCATTTCTTCACTAAGTTCACATGAATAATGTATAAATCTATTTTCCAGTGTGCTGGGAACAAGACAATGTTGAACAACATTCAAGACAAATGACTGCAAATGAAGCAGCTCAAGTTACTCTACTGTGCAATTACTCTACAAATGCTTAATCTCCTCTGGTACAAACAGCTACCAAACAGATCACCAACATTCATTCTGAGTGAATTTACAGTTGGTAAAGGAACTACTGAGGATGAATTTAAACAGATATTTTCTGCTTCATCAGACTTCACATCAAGAACAGTTCCACTGATGATCAAGAATCTGCATGTGTCTGACTCTGTGTACTGTACTGTGAGCTATACTGTTCATAGGCCTGTGGTGACAGAACCCTTTACTCTCATACAAGAACATTTAGATCTAGTATATCTATTTAAATACCTTCATGTTGCATTATAAATTAAATATAATTAACAGTTTGTTTAGGGTTATGCATAACAAAACTGATATTCTATAATAACTGTATTCCATATTTTTATTTTATCTGTAATCTGCACATTATCTGTCCATATATAATTGAGAAATGAGATATGAATCATAATCGAAATTAATGCTAAATATTGTACAATGATTCACAAATCCTTTCATTCAAACTATCTGTATTCAGATACTGAGGCTCCTCCTCCAGGTGTTTGTAAATGTGTTCAGTGTAACTTTAGCCAGACAGACTGAAGCAACAAGGGGGTTAAAAATCTGTTCTACTGTAGATGTGTTCATTCTGTTTAGTTTAATTTAACACAGCACATTTACACACTTATGATGACACGCTGGCAAAAATATTTAGTGTTGTTCATCTCATATTTTTTGGGTAAGTAGATTTTCTTCCATTTTAAATTTGGAATGAATGAATGATTGAGTTATTCAAATGTTAAATGGTTTTCTAAATTCTAGGGTGTAAATCTGAGGATGCTGTCCACCAGAATATAAGAGTTCAAACAGCAGATGAAGGTGCAGCAGCTGTAATAATCAATTGTACGTATACAAGCATTGATCCATCGCCAACTCTCTTGTGGTACCAGCAACAAGTAAATGGATTCCCAAAATATATGCTGTCTACTTATGGAGCTAATGACGACGATTTTAAGAAGAGATTTAATGCACGTCTAAACACAACAACAAAATCAGCTCCTCTGACAATCCAGGATGTGCGTGTGTCTGACTCTGCTGTGTACTACTGTGCTCTGAGGCCCACAGTGACTGAAACACACTCAACACTCATACAAAAACTATGTGTGGGCATTCACAAGTTTGGAAATATTACCAAGTATAGTTTTTAATTTTGTCTTTTTATTGTTACATATTTTAACTGGTGTTATTTTTCTAAATATTATTAATATAATTAAACTTAAAATAACTTTCTATTATTCTTCACAAACCATGAATCTGTAGGATGTTTTTTTCACTAAATTTCTTAATAAGTATTTGTATTACTTGATAAACTTTATTACCACAGGGTAAATATTAATGTCATGAAGCTGCAAAACGGTCTCCCCTAGAAACACATCCACAAGCCACTACTCTTGTGTTGCAGAAATCTAATAACTTTATGTGTATTGCGTTACTGCTTTCTGATTGTTTTTCACATTTGTAAGTTTTAAAATTTGGATAAAAATGTCAGTTAGAATATACATAAATTCACCACAGGGAGGCAGCATCCCTCAAAGTGTTTTCAAGGAAACAGGCGGCATGTGAGAGCTTGAAGACCTGAAACATCAAGAGAAAAGCAGCACAGAGCAAACCAAGAGCTAGAGTAAAGACAGAGAGACACATTAATTAGAACACATGTTAAAATATTAATCTCTATCTCAGCAATGGAAAAATGGGTGACAATCACACTTTTCTTCACAGCTCATGATTTAGGTAAGGAAGTTCTTAATTTCCACTTTATCATTTGTTCATATGTGAGTTACTTAATATATGTAAAAGATTAATAATTAAATCTATTTTCCAGTGTGCTGGGGACAAGACAGAGTTGAACAGCCTTCAAGAGAAATGACTGCAAATGAAGCAGATCAAGTAACTTTAATGTGTAACTACACTACCAAAGCTACAAATACAGATGCTTATCTCTTCTGGTACAAACAACTATCAAACAAATCACCAGCATTCATTCTGAACAAATATCCATTTAGTGAAGGAACAACTGAGCCTGATTTTAAGAAGAGATTTTCTGCAACACTGGATACAACATCAAGCACAGTTCCACTGATGATCAAGAATCTGCGTGTGTCTGACTCTGCTGTGTACTACTGTGCTCTGAGGCCCACAGTGACTAAAACACACTCAACACTCATACAAAAACAGACAAAATAAATGGAAAACTCTAGCTTTGTTAACAAAACACTATAAACAAAGTAGAAAAGTTATTTTCACCAAGTGAGAATCAGTAATAAACAATAAGGTGCAATTTGTGGCAAACCATCAAGGATCAAGTATTTAAAGTTCAAGATGAACCTGGAGTTGTGAAGTTGCCAAAATAAAACAGAGCTGATCTACAGTATTTCCATTGTGTTTAATTATTTTTTCTCGTCAACCTTTTTAACAGAGTGTAGTTTATTGATCCCGAATTTGTAACCAGACCAAAAGAGACCAATCACACATTTTCTGATTTCTTTTTTCAAGGCTCTTTTGTTTGGTTTTAAAATGGTCTCCTCCAACCAATCACCTGCATCTGAAACCACCAAACTTAAAAAAAGCCTGAAGACACACCTCTTCTGTGAGGACTAAACTAATGCATTAGAATTGGAGCACAGAGAACATTAATACATTCATCTGACCCAATAAATATGGAAAAAGTCCTGTTTCTGATTTTAATTCTGTCTCAAGGTACAGTATAACTCCCTTTATTCATTCTAGTGATGTACAGTAGAAAAACTATAAGTGTAAGAATTAGTACTGTCAAATGATTAATCGCAATTAATCGCATCCAAAATAAAAGTTTGTGTTTACATAATATATGTGTGTACTGTGTATATTTATTATGTATTTATATGCACACACATACATGTGTTTTAAAAATATTTGCATCTGTATATATTTACATTTATATATTTTATATTATATATAAATATTAATGTTTTTTTTCTTCAATATATGTATGGATGTGTGTGCATTAATATATAAATAATAAATACACACAGTAGACACACACATATTATGTAAGCACAGACTTTTATTTTGGATGCAATTTTATTTTGTAGCACTAGTATTAATTTTGTGCAACTTGTCTAATTGTCTTATTTCTTTGTTTTTAGGTGTGATGACTGCAGACCAGATTAGGCCAAATAAAGAAACTAGTGTCGTGAAGGAAGATGAGACTGTGACCCTCAGCTGCACATATGATACAAGCAGCAGATATGTTAGACTTTACTGGTACAGACAGTATCCTAATAAAGAACCTCAGTATTTAATGTGGAAAGAAGCTCGGGGATGGAGTGATACTGGGACCCCAGCTGAACCTCGCTTTCAGTCAACTACATCAGAAACATCCACTGAACTCACTATTACTGGTGTAACTCTGTCAGATTCAGCTCTCTATTATTGTGCTCTAAGAGTTGGAGCACAGTGATACAAAGTCTATGTGAAGCCGTACAAAAACTCAAATTCATTTTTCACTTGGATCTCAAGCCATATCAAACCCACAATCTATAATTCACACAATATAATTATACTTGTGGAAACACCTGTGTGTGGTTGCAGCTGAAATTTATAATCAAGTTATAAAGACAAATGAACATAGGTATATTCAATATATGACCAGTCCTAATAGATGTGAACATCTATCATGAATAATAATAAAACAAAAATATCTTAAGATTAAATAACAAAAAAAAAATAAATAAATAAAATAAACCTGATTTAGATAAATAGATTTTGTTGAAATCTACAATAGACACTTGTTTCAGCCTCTGTTGAGGAAGTTATTGTAACACTGTCATATGCAAAGACCTGCAGGAGGAGACTAACAGCACAGTATCTGAACTTGACTGTCCATCTCAGCGAATGTGCTAAGAATAATGTATTATCCCTCGAATTCTTATATAAGCTAAACCTTAAGATTCTAAAACTAAAAATAAAAAATAAGTTTTTCTTTGTAAGAACATTATCCTGTCATCTTATCTATCCTGGCACATCTTGATTCAGATATGTAAAGATGTATTATATGTAACATCATTTTACACAATAATGTCATATTATGCATAATCTGTCAAAGGATATTGCACTCTATGGTTTATATAATTAAATAATTTGAAATGATTTCAAAGGTTACAAATGAAAAAAAAAACTGTTTTTTAATATTAAGTTTTTAATATAATGAATTCACCACCAGGGGTCAGCATCCCTTAATTTCTTGTGTCAGACTGTTCAGTTGTTGAAAACATCAAGAGAATAATTGAGAGAGATTT